GTGCAGGGAAAGCCATTCCTTACTCTAGAATGCTGTTAATGAATATAGAGGAATGGTGGAGTTAGAAAGTCACCCAGCGATACTAAACTAGTGAGTCAACATTAAATGAGGAGCAGGATATTTGTGTCATCTCAAAGTATTTCTCTGCAAAGTACTTTTTAATTATGAAGGAAAATTAATAACTTTATAGTGGATATGCCCAATAGTCATCACCTTGGTCACATGATCAAGATAAATACCTCCAATAGCAAGATAAACCCACATAATGTGTTTGCTGATATAATGCACTGAGAAGATATAATATTACTGCTGTAGGAACCCGCCCAAAATGCATCACCTGAGTCTAGTCATGAGAAACCATGAGACAGACCTCAATATATATGTATACATATATTTTTTTTGAGATGGAGCTAGAATGCGGTGGCACGATCTTGGCTCACTACAGTCTCCGCCTCCCAGGTTCAAGCGATTCTGCTGCCTCAGCCTCCCCAGTAACTGGGATTACAGGCACATGCCGCGGCAACCAGCTAATTTCTGTATTTTTAGTAGAGATAGGGTTTCACTATGTTGGCCAGGCAGGTCTCAAACTCCTAATATCAAGTGATCTGCCCGCTTTGGCCCCCCAGAGTGCTGGGATTACAGGCGTGAGCCACCACACCCGGCCGGCAGACCTCAATTCTATGAAATTTCTGCCCTGTACACTTCAAATTGTCAGAGTAAAGAAAGACAAAGGCTGAGTAAACTGTTCCAGATGAATATGGGGGTGGAAGAGGTCAGTGTAAAAAGACATGACAACCAAATACAAAGTTTAATCCTAGCTTGGATTCTGTACTGACAGCCAGAAAGTGATCTGTAATGGACTTTATTTGGGCACTTGCCAAAACTTGCAAATAGTCTGTGAATTAGATAATAGTACTGTATTAGTGTGAGGTTTGCTAATTCTAATAATTATTCTGTGATTATGTAAGAGAATGTCCTTAGTCGTAGAAATTACACACTTAAGTATTTAGTGGTAAAGGGGCCTATTATCTCCCATTTGTTCTCAAATGATTGAGGGAAAAAAGTTTGTGTGTGTGTGTGTGTGTGTGTGTGTGTGTGTGTGTGTGTCTGTACGTGTGCGTCTGCAGAAAGAGGGCAAATTAGGTAAAGCATAAATAATTGGTGATACTGGGTAAGGGAGATAGGGAACAGTTAATAGATCCCTGTTTTATTCTGTTTTTATTTATTTATTTATTTATTTATTTTTGAAGCAGGGTCTTGCTCTGTCGCTCAGGCTGGAGTGCAGTGGAGCCATCAGTAGCCTCAGCCACTGGGCTCAAGCAGTCCGCTTACCTCAGCCTCCTGAATAGCTGGGACTACAGTCACCACCCCTGGCTAAGTTTTTATTTTTTGTAGAGATGAGGTCTCACTGCATTGCCCAGGCTGGCCTCAAACTCCTGGGCTTAAGCAGTCCTCCCTCTTGGACTTCCCATAGTGCTGGGGTTGCATGCATGAGGCACTGCGCCTGGCCCCAGATCTTTTCTTCAGCATATGTACACCGTGTTTCTTTATAGAAGGATTACTGTAGAGTAAGCATCACTTAGATTCACATTTGAAAGAACACACTTTGGGGAATGTTGAAGGGAGGACTCTGGAATCTAGAGCCCAGACTGTTGAAGGGAGGGCTCTGGGCATAGCTCATTTTGAAGCTGAAATTGATGGTAGCTACCCCAAACACCCGTCAAAGATGATTTTGGAAAATAGTTTCCAGCCTCTGTCCAAACTTGGCCATCACCACCACCGACAAAATATGTTTCAGTTCACTCAAGTCCAATTCACTCAGCAAAATCCCATCTACTTATTTATTCTGATATTTTAGAGAGCTTCAGACATTACTGTAATTCAGTAGACTACAACGTGAGAAAAAGAGTAAGAAAAATTAGTAATTTTAGACCTGTGCTACTGTCCTTTTCATGAGACATTTTATTATCCAGATGGGTGGAGCCATGACTCAAACACATTTTCTGAAAATGCGTTTTTTTCCCCACTTGTAAATGAAAATGCCCTCGAAGAGGTCTTAAAGTATTTTGTATCACACACTATTCGGGTGATGCATTAAACAATGCTGTCCCTGCATTTGGGCTGAAGTATAAGAAAGCCTTTGGTGAACCTACTTAATTTGAGGACCTGGGTTTTAAAAGGAAAGTGAAGTGTAATTTTCTGAATACACCTGTGTGAAGTTTCTTTCTTGGGTTACTAGTATTGTACCCAAAGCAATGCACCTAATATTAAACCATTCTAATCTGCCCCTTATTGAATGGATTTTTCTCTAAAAATTCATGATGTCTGAAGCTGTCCAAACCATAGGTAACACATTTGTAAGAAACTGCCAGAATGAGTGCAAATTCACAGTCTTAAGAAAATGAATTATCTTGAAGAAAGAAAATTCTCCAAAAGAAATTACCCATCCTTCTCCCGTGTACTTAGGTATCTGAATTTTTTCTAGGAAGTGTCCTGATTTGGGCTACCTGTTTTTACTCTTCAGAAAAGAAATGCCATCGTATTCTTAGCATTTGGGTTAATTCAGTCATCAGAACTCTGTTTTCCTTTGACCTATACTTCAGTTGGTCATTCTGACTTAGCTTTGCCTGCTGGGACTTCATTGCTCAATGTCAAATCTCCAAATCTATGTGGGGTGTGGTTGGTCAGTCTATTACAGAAAATAGCATGGTGCCTTTTGGAAAAGTGGGGAAATAGAGGTCATGTAAGAACCAATTATATGGAAGATACAATTTTCTGTAAGGAGTCGCATCATTCTAGAAGATTCAATGGAATCACATGCTTACTAGGAATTTTAAGATGTTTGCCAAATGTTAATCTTAAAATATGATGACGATGATGGCCAGGCACAGTGGCTCATGCCTGGAATCTCAGCAGGTTGCGGGGCCCAGGTGGGCAGATTGCTGGAGCCCAGGAGTTCCAGACCAGCCTGGGCGACATAGTGAGACCCTGTCTCTAAAAAAATACAAAAATTAGCCCGATATGATGGTGTACACTCGTAGTTCCAGATACTTAGGAGGCCATGGCGAGAGGATCGTGTGAGCCCTGGAGGTCAAGGCTGCAGTGAGCAATGATCATGCCACTGCACTACAGCCTGGGTGACAAAATGAGACCCTGTCTCAGAGGAAAAAAAAGTGTATATATGATGATGATGATGGCTATTTGTTGAGCGTTGATGAGGTCTAACCATGGTGCTATGTGGTACACATTACATTAACTTATTTGAGCCTCACAGTTACCCCACTAAGTGGAAATACTTGACTTTACACCTAAGGAAGCTGATGCTTTTAAGTAAATGAGGAGGCTGGAATAGGAACCCAGGTCTATTCTTTTATCGATATGGAAGATAAAAGGGGATACCCTATGGTTCATTTTTGTTTTCTGCGTCTTTTTTTTTTTTTGAGACAGAGTTTCATTCTTGTTTCCCAGGCTGGAGTGCAATGGCATGATCTCTGCTCACTGTAACCTCTTCCTCCCAGATTCAAGTGATTTTCCTGCCTCAGACTCCCGAGTAGCTGGGATTACAGGCATGCACCACCATGCCAGGCTCATTTTGTATTTTTAGTAGAGGTAGGGTTTCTCCGTGTTGGTCAGGCTGGTCTCGAACTCCCACCTCAGGTGATCTGCCCACCTCCCAAGGTGCTGGGATTATAGGCATGAGCCACCATGCCCAGCTACTCTTTGCATCTTTTTAAATGTCAAGGTATGTGCAAGCATTAAAGTTGTATGATGATTCTGAGTTGACTTTCCTGTGTTCTGCTTCTTGAATAAGAAATTCTAGTTAGGCACAGTGATTCACACATATAATCCCTGTGCTTTGGGAGGCTGAGTCACACAGACCACTTGAGGGCCAAGAGTTTGAAACCTGCCTGGACAACAAGGCAAAACCCCATCCTTACAGAAAATACGAAACTTAGCTGGGCATGGTGGCATATTCCTGTAGTCCCAGCTACTCAGGGGGCTGAGGTGGGAGGATCTATTGACCCTAGGAGATGGAGGCCACAGTGAGCCGGATGGCAGCCACTGCATTCCAGCCTGGACCACAGAGTGAGAGTGAGTTTTTTTGTTTGTTTCCAAAAAAAGAAAAAAGAAAATATAATGCTAAGCAAATGTAAGAGGAAATATTTAAGGTTAAGATTGGGATGAAAGCTGCTGGATTTTGGGTTCTCTCTGATGTGTAATATTGGCAAATTAACATCACATTTCTGAAGCGCTATTTGCTCATCTATAACTGAGTATAGTAATTTCTGCCTTAATTTTTTTGCATAGATTGATAAGAGGATTAAGCAAAATAATGTGTGGGTTAGCTTTTTATAAAAAGGTGGTTAACTCCATTAAAATTTGGCTTCTTAATAGGGAAATTTCACCATGATCTAGGTAATAGAAAATAAGAAGGCATTATTTTTACTTATTTTGGGTGACATGAATGAATTGTAGTTATGTGAAAAGATGGGATATATTCTCAAGTATCTAAGGGTAAAATGACATGATGTCTAGGTTTGTTCTAAAATATGTTACCAAAGGGCTGGGTGCAGTGGCTCACATCTATAATCCCAGGACTTTGGGAGGCCAAGGTGGGTAGATCATCTTAGGTCAGGAGTTCAAGACCAGCCTGGCCAACATGGTGAAACTCCGTGTCTACAAAAATACAAAAATTAGCCAGGCATGATGGCAGGTACCTGTAATCCCAGTTATTTGGGAGACTGAGGCCAGAGAATTGCTTGAACCTGGGAGGCAGAGATTGTAGTGAGCTGAGATCGCACCACTGTACTCCAGCCTTGGTGACAGAGCAAGACTGTCTTAAAAAAAAAAAAAAGCAAGTTAGCAAAGGAAAAATATGGATAGGTGAATAAATTTGGCAAAATCTTAGTAACTGGAGAATGTACACTTACTGTGCTATTCTCTCAACTTTTGTTTATGTTTGAAAATTTTCCTAATACATTTTTTAATTGTTCTTACAGATGCAGATTTTCTTTTACAATCCAGATGACTTTGACAGCTTTCAAACCGCAATTTCTGAGAACAGAATAATTGGAGCCATGGCCGTATTTTTTCAAGTAAGTTAACAGTGGCTGAAGTACTTCAACCAAAGAATTCTTTGAGTATTCTTTTTGTAATTCACCAAATTGTTCCATGTTTAATGAATGCATCTGCTTTCTAGTTCACACCTGTCCAAATGAAAGATATTTCATATTGTCTAATGTGTGATTTAAAATGTAAATAAGTATGTTTAGAAACATAATGAAAATTTTTGCATGAATTATTCTGATTTTATTGTGACTTGACTGCTGCACAGATTGAAGAACACATTTATCATGTAAGTTACTTCGCCGCTGAAGCATTTGAACAGGTTCCTTCAGCATATTAAGAGACTGATAGAAAAAAAGGTGTTGTTTTTTTTTTTTAAAGCAACTTTAAAATTTGACATTACCTGCAAGTAGGTTAATAAATAGCATCAGTCACTTTTCTTAAGAGACCCCCTCTCTTTGCCTCTAAGAAATCCCCATGGTAACTAAAGTTTCTGGTGCGGCTATCTCTGTGTTAGTACGTTTATGAACTTTATCCTTCCATCCTCTCTTGTAATCTGATTATGTTGATGAATGCTCATAATTCAGTGTTGATTCTCCACCTAGAATCCAAATGTTGCATCTTTCGATAAATAATGCTGTTAAGGTTTCTTGACCAATTTGCCTGTCGGAGACCTTCGTGCTTTTTTTGTGTGAAAGGTAGTCTGAGTAGTAGGCATCTGTGATTTGTCTTTCAGTCTTAAAGTTGACCTAACGACGACATAAAGGTGTTCATTTCACCAGTGAGTCTCTGTGGAAATGGTGGCTTTTTGACAACGAAAAGAATGTTAGACGTAAGAGCCTTCTCCAACACGTCTTTAACATCTGCCTTTTTGAGCAAGTTTCTTTGTCATTGAGGTGGAGTCATTCTTGTTTGGAGTATGTTAATTTCACTACCCTTCTCAATGAGTGTCACGTGAGTGACAGTTCTCTCCCTTTTAACCACCTTTCTTCCTTTTCTCAAGGGAGATAAAGGCTCAAGTGAGAGATTAGATATGAAAATTTGAAAAGCTTGATATTCTACCTAGAATAAGAACAGTGGTTGTCGGTGTTGATTACCGCACTGGTTTTCAAACAGTGGGTTCTGTCTTACTGTTGAGCTATGGAATTTTTCAGTAAGTTCTGATCAGCATTTTAGAAACAATGACATGGAATAATATAGAATAGGAAATAAGTCAGAAAATATCACATAGTAAGGATAAATGTATCTGTACAACTTGTTTATGCACAGTAACGCATACTGACTATATACTGGGTCATGATCTAATGTGTACTGCTTACTGTGAGTCACGGTCAGATGTTTTGGAAGTCATCTGTTTATGCTACACATTGGCTTAATTTGCCCATTGTTCTCCAACACATCTCTTTTTCCTGATTACTTTTCATGAACACAATAGAGCATAGTGTTTTAAGAGCTTGTTCACTGGAGTCAAGATACTTGCTTTTGAATTCCGTGCTTTCTACTGCATAATGGTAATGTAGTTATTTAAACTTTTCAACCCCGGTGTCCTTATCGGTGAAGCAGAGAGAACAACTAATACATCATGCAGATTGTAGTGATTAAAGGAGTCCCTAGAATGGCTCCTGGAACGTAGTGGACACTTGGAAAATGCCAAATAATGTGCATCTGTAGCCCTCCATCTGTTTCTGTGGGGTGGAGACCCCCGTGGCATACATATTATCTTTTCATGAACAGAAGTATGTTCTGGACACTGACCTGCTGGCAGATGACTGGAGTTCTGTTTAGACTCCTTTTGTTCTGATCCTGAACTGTGATGGGTTTGCCTCTGGCAGCACTGGGACCACACAAACTGCTCTTAACCAATTCCCATGTGCTGGCAAACACCTGGTTTTCTGTCATTGTTCCCTTGGAATGCTGCTTTTCGTGCTGCTGGACCTCCGCTCCTGTGGCCCTGCTGTTAGATCCACCCTCAAACTGTCTTCTGTCTCACGCCCACCTATGCCCAATCCTACAAGAGTCTACTTCATAGGACCCCTTTCTTAAAAGAAAACTTAAACAAATTTAAAAAGGTTTTTATGAGTACTGGAAGGACTAGTTTACAGCATGCTCCACCCAAACACTCTATTTTCTTCAGCTCTATAAACTCTGTTAAATATAAGACCAATTAGAATTTTAGGCAGGCAAGACACATGGGGGTGCAAATCAACAAAACACCACACTGTGAAATCTAGGTTTTAAATTTTTAAAGTATTTCGAGGACACGACTACTAGTTCGCATACAGAGACATTGAATGTGCATTTCATTTGTTTGGTCCTTTTCTCAATTTGGCTTGCTATCCTATAGACACAAATTAGAGGTCAGGTGGTAAAAAAAAAAAAAAAAAATAGAACATAATTTTATGTAGATAGCAGCTGTATTGAACTGCCTCCTTTGTCTTATTTATTTATTTAGAGACAAGTCTCCCAGTTGATCAGGCTGAAGTGTAGTGGTGCAATTATGGCTTGCTGTGGCCCCAACTCCTGGTCTCAAGGGGATCCTCCTGCCACAGCCCCCGAGTAGCTGGGACTACAGGTGCAGGCTACCACGCCTGGCTAATTTCCTTCTTCTTCTTCTTCTTCTTTTTTTTTGTAGACACAATGTCTTACTTTGTTGCCCAGCCCGATCTAGAACTCCTGGGCTCAAGTGATCTTGCCTCAGCCTTCTGAAGTGCTGGGATTACAGGTGTCAGCCCCTGTGCCCCACCCCTTTGTCTTGCTTGTAAGCCCGCGGGCACTTAACACAGTTGAATTCTCACTATGTTGTCCATTGCAAAGAAAAAAAAAAATACTGTTATACAAATCTGGCATTCTAGTTAGATCTCATTTTTTGATATTTTTGCATTTTGAATCTTTCTAGAAGACTGATAAATTTGAGAGTTTGATATTTCTTCTCAAAATAGAGGAGTCTCGGTATATATTTCCAAATTCAAACCTGGCATCTTACATTTTGGTATGGAAGAAGGGTTTGTCATCTATGTAGTCAACATCTGTTCTGTGCCAGGAATGGTGGTACTCGTTGCTGTGTTAAACGTCATCAAAACAATCTTTTTCTGTGCACTACAACTGCATTGTCATGGTCCCACAAATAATGACTAAGAAGAGTTGAACTCTTCTACTTGTAAAAAAGGCTATACTGTGACTTGATGCCTATAAAAACACGTATTCGTTATCCAGAGTGACACAAAGAGAATGACCCAAAAGCCCAGGCCTAGGCAAGGCCAAGTTCTGCAGAAATACCAGCAGTCCGGATGCTGATTTACTGCATACACTGGAATAATTTTTTTACTGCTTCAGTTTTGCGCTGTCTCTGCTTCATTTTTTGCTCTCAACGTGTACCTATTATTCCTGGTAATTTTGGCTTTCTCTCTGCCTTTTCTCTGCTTGGATATGAGGAAGTTCGTAATGTTACCCCCCAAAAAGCACCAAAATAGGCACAAATGAACCCATACCTTGGCCTAGACTAGAGGTTACTTGCACTTTGCCCTGTTGTGGCTCAGAGGAATGATTTGTGGAACCTACACAGTGTTTATGATTCTTTCCTTCAGTTAAATCTGGAAGGTTTTACAGAAAATGTCTTGATGATGTCGCAGTGATCGAGATCTGCCTAGTGGCTACTTTGGAGTGAGTGTGCATTTCCATTGAAACAAAACTCGTCAAGCGGGCTGGTTCATGTGTTCACGTCAATGTGATCTTCAGATCGTGATGCCTGGCCGGGACCTCAGTAACTCTGAATGGCAGCTGATATGTTTTGGTAACAGACAGAGTTGAGGGTCAGTCTCAGTGCTGAAAGATGGTGAGCCAGGTCTGCCCTTGAGCACAAGTGAAGGAAGGAAGCACCACCTCCGTGTGTGGAAGACAGTGAATTAGGGCAGCCGCATCTTGGCCCACACAGCTCTGGAAGGTGCACTCCCTTTGTAACCGCTGGTAAGTGCAATATTGATTACAATTTTCCAACACATGGTAGTAATGTATCTGGAGGAAGGATCACCTTTTTCTACTTCATGCAGATGTCCTTTGGGCTTGTTCCCTATGGAAAACATAGAGGAATAGGTAAGAGTAAAGTTAGGGGTTGGAGGAATTTGTTGTTAAACCACTCAAGAGAATAAATACTTGTTTAATTTATGTAAGTACAAAGACTAAAATAATTACTTTCCATTCATTAAAGTATAACTTTTCCTGTTCTCTGTTGTTAACCTAATTTGAATGCCTGTAAAAATATAAAATATGAGAAGTTATTTGGTTGGTGCGTTAGTAATTGCGGTTTTTGCCATTATTTTTAAAGGGAAAAACTGCAATTACTTTTGCACCAACCTAAAGTGCTGTTTCAGAATATTGTATTATTCTGATAACACCCTATGTGGGTTATCTGGTGAAACAAATATATATATAAACCCAGTTGTTTATATGAAATGGAATCAGCGGAATGATTAGGAAATGTGTGGAAGAATATCTTTCTTTCAATAAACTGTAATTCTTTTTTTTTTTTTTTTTTTTGAGACAGAGTTTCACTCTTGTTACCCAGGCTGGAGTGCAATGGCGCGATCTCGGCTCACCACAACCTCCGCCCCCTGGGTTCAGGCAATTCTCCTGCCTCAGCCTCCTGAGTAGCTGGGATTACAGGCACGAGCCACCATGCCCAGCTAATTTTTTTGTATTTTTAGTAGAGACAGGGTTTCACCATGTTGACCAGGATGGTCTCGATCTCTGGACCTCGTGATCCACCCGCCTTGGCCTCCCAAAGTGCTGGGATTACAGGCTTGAGCCACCGCGCCCGGCCTAAACTGTAATTCTTTAACGACCAGTGATAATGGCTTTTTTTTTTTTTTTTTTTTTTTTTTTTGAGACGGAGTTTCGCTCTTGTTACCCAGGCTGGAGTGCAATGGCGCGATTTCGGCTCACTGCAACCTCCGCCTCCTGGGTTCAGGCAATTCTCCTGCCTCAGCCTCCTGAGTAGCTGGGATTACAGGCATGTGCCACCATGCCCAGCTAA